AGTGACGGCTCACTGGAAAATTATCTCCTTGTCTGGCTTTCCTGCAGTCCCTCTCCCCGCAGGCTGATTACTGAGCTCTCTCTGTCTCTGACCTCTCAAGGAAGATACATAGTGTCGCATGTAGTCGCCTGCCTGTCAAATTAAAACAAGGACAGAAACTGGGCTTCTTGTTTTGTGTCCCTGCTCAGCCTGTCTGTGTTTTCAGTATGCCGCATTCCTCTTTTCCAAGCAATGGATACTTATTTCTTATTCCCCTTAATTGTAGCAAATCCTGTTGTGTTCCATTCTGCAAGAGGATAAAGGTGTAGTTCTAAATGTACAGTAATTTACTCGAGCAAATGATGTTTGTAACTCCTGCTGCAGATGGATGTAAGTGAATTTTTGCAGTAGGTGAATTTTTGCAGTAGGGTGACGTGTTTCTCCCGTTCTTTTTTCTTTCCCTGAAATTGAAACTGTTATGCATTGTGCGGGCAGTGCACAGTGTTGCAGTGGTTGACATTGCTGCTTCACGGTGCTGGAATCTCAGGTTCAGTTCCTGGTGTGTTGTCTGTTTCGTGTGGGTTTCCACCTGGTGCTCTGGTTTCCTCTCACAGTCCAAAGACATACTTTGGCTCTGAGCTCAGCTTCGCTAAAAGCTCTTAACAAAGCCCTTAAAAATCGTTGTTAAAAGCACTTAACAATCTTCTATTTCTTTAGTGAAAGCATGATGCTTTGCAGAGCTAGTGTGTGTGTCTGTGTCTGTGTCTGTGTGTGCCCTGTGCAGGGCTTGCTCGGTCTTGCACAGCTAGGCTCCCACTCCCTAGCGACCCTGAACTGAAAATCTGCGTGCTGTCCCACATTGTATCGTATTATCAGGGAAAAAAAGCGGTTCTTGTACCAAGTCTGCTTCACTCATTTCGGATTATTAGAGGTGCTCGCAGACAACACCCTCGCTGGGTGTTGGTGGGGCCTTTGCCAGCTGAAACAATGTGAGCTGTTGAACTGTGCTGTACACACAGGCTCAGACAGAGCTCTGCAAGACCCACTGGGCTGCGTTCCAGGCCCAGTGAGAATCGCTGCTAGGAGCGTCTCTTCCCCAGCCCTGCAGAGCTCGATGACCTCATCAAATCCCTTTGTGTCCGACCAAGCTAGATGTCCCAATCTCGCTTCGAGACTCCACTGGTCAGAGCAGTGCAAGTTGTATAAGGTAACTCAGTCGAGTATTTCAGGGAGTTGTTTTTGCACTGGTGAGTGTTCCTCTGTTACAGATTGCTGTTTTTCTGGTCTTTAACAATGAAACCCGCTCATGCCTAATAATGGAGTGCATAACTTGGGTGCTTTCTGTGATTTTATCAGTCTGTCTGCTGGTTGATCGGCCTCCTGCAGATCTGCTCGGCTCTCCTCTGTGTGGTGACAGAGTGGGTGTTCTGCTGGCACTTAATTAATGCTGATAAATGCTACCAAGCAGCATTGGCAAGTAATGCTGGGACATGAAGAATCGCTGCCTGTGGGAGTGGGAGGGGAATTTGCTAGTCAAATGATGGGTTACAGCCGAGGAGGTTTATATCAGCTGGTGTGCATGGGCTAACTTTGTTTAAAGCACATATCAACCTGCTAGTTTCTTTCATGAAAGCTTGATGCATCATCCTAAAGCCTTTATTTTCTGATCTTGCTGTTGAGAACTGCCGTGTGAGCCGCATGTGTCGCAGAGTCTTTCTGCTCACGGCGGAGTAATGATCAGGGCCGCCTTGGAGAGGCTCTTTAAAGCTGGCGTGTGTGTCTTCAGGGGGTAGGATGAAACTGAGGAGCACCCACATGAGCCTGGAAAGGACATGCAAACCCCACACACATAGGTGCCAAAGACCAGGACTGAACCCAGGACCCTGGAACTATGAGGCCGCAGTTAGCCTTGCTACTGTATCATTGCTTTACAATTTACTGCATCAAATTTGCCTTTTACCACAACCATTCCTGCAGCTCCCTGTCAGGCACTAAAACTCAGCAGCGGCTCATACCTTGGACGTAGTAAGCATAGTGACAAAAAGATCTCTGTGTCGTACCCAGTGAGGAGGAAGGGAAAATCGTTAGGCTGTTGAAGCGTCCTGTCCTCTGTCCTTTGCAGGACGGTCTTCTTCTGAGATCCTTACTTTGTTCAAATGTGCCATTTCTCACTGGGGCTCAGTGCACTTTCTGAAACAGTGAAGCTGCTGTGGTAAATCAGTCTGTAAGTCGCTGTGCTCTTGCCCGCAGCCTCATCTGACCTCTCTTCCCTATCATTGAGCTCATCCTTGCCAGTCTTGGGCATCGCAAGGACTTGGCATCCAAGCCTCTCCTGAAATCGGGGACAGCTCGTGGCGTGAAGCACGTTGCCCTGGGCTATCGCTCCGACTGCGGGCCGGGCACACTGCCTGAATTTTGGCTTCGGTTATGGTCCAGCCACACAGAAGCCTGACCATGCCCTGAACCTGCAACCTCTTTTCTCTGGCTCAGACTAGACGCTCCTGAGCAGCCAAACTACAGAGCATCGTCTACCATCTGGAAACAGAGCAACCCCATTGCTTAACACTCTCTCATTCCTGGGCCGCATTAACATACAGTATACCAGCCGCCCAGCAGTTTCGAACGTGTTGCTCACAGTAGCTCCTGTTAGTAGCTTCGTTTGTCTCAGGTGTTCAACCGATCAACCAATGGGTTTGATGAGTCTGTATAGTTTAATGCTTAATTTTCTATGCAGGTTTTACATATGTGGTTTCTTTTCATTAAATAAAGCATAATGAGACTAGAATTACCGAATGAAAGGACAAAATTCACAACAACTGAAGAGCCTTGCGCAATTTTGAAGGATGTTAGGTAGGAGGTTTTCACGCATGGTTAGCATGGTTGCAGTTGCTAAGGGTAAGTCATCTTCTAGAAGAATGCAGCGTGGCATGCTAGGAATCCAAACGCTGTTGAAAGAAGTGATCACTATAATCTTAATTTACTTCTTCAACAAAGAGCGTCACCCTGCTTTTAAAACTAGACTGCCATCTGGTCTGCTTTTCTTATGTTTGTATGGACTGCTACAGAATTATTTCTGGAAGAACTGACAAAAATATTCTGTTTTTGAAAAACACACAATTGGCTATTCCATATCAGGGGTGTAAAGCAATTATAAAGGGCAAGTCCAAATATCCTATAGTATAAATATCCTTGGTTTGCAATAAAGCAATCTCAGTTGTGTTTACTGCAGCTAGATTTATCTGTTAGCTGAACCTCAGTTAACTTAGGCCTATTATTTGAATCAGTCTGATGGTCAACCTGTTGAAATGCCCTACAGTGACAGTCACCAAAGATCTCCACTAATAATGATGTTGCACTTAGAAACTGCAGTTTAATGCAAGTTTTTATTATGCATCAGATGTATCCAACTTTGTACGTTTCCTGCCATAATTACTCTGTTCTGTAAGACACAACAATGTGCAGTCTCTGGACTATTTGCGCAAACTATCCGTATATCTTATTTTGTCGCTCGAGGCAGTCACAATGACCAAACACTTGTACGATTTTTTAACTAGGATTAAAATAATTGTAGTTAAATCATTGTCCACTTCCAGGGGGACATACGTAAGCAAACCAGGGATAATGAACATTCAGAAACAGAAACAGAAGGAATTGACACCGTGAGAGAAATTCCTCCTTTTTAGACTAGGTATAAAGAACTTACATGTATTTGAGCACTACAAAGAGAGAACTGTAGGATTTAAGCACAAGCCTGTTGTTTTGTATTTGTAGAATTCATTTTCCTATCCGCCAGGTTGAAGTAAATGAGAGAGTGGAGGTGCATGGTGTGGAGCTCGCCTGGCCCTGCAGTGTCTCTGAATCGGCGCACGGCAGTCCTGCCGTTCCTTCGAGACGCCCCTGTCCTGTCCTGTCCAGTCCTGTCCGGACTTCTCAGGGGCGTCTCAAGGCAGCTCGCTGTTTCTTTCAGGAGAGATGCATTATTCATGAGGGGAAGAAACGTCTTTGGCAGAATGAACAAGCGGTGTGTCAGCTATCGAAAGGGGAATGCAGAGGCGTGCAATCCCAGACCAGAGGAGCTCAGCTTTGCTTTGTTCTTCTGCCTTGCTCTAGTTATGATACTATACTGGTTTACTTTGCCTCCATACTTACAAAAAACTCAGTGAATCTGAGAACTTATCAGAATGTTCTCACCCCAAGGCAGCCTGCTTTAGGTCAGACAGTTTCACCATTCTGTCATGTGTTTTGAGTTTCAGACTTCCATTTCAACATTTTGTTTCCCATTTGGTGCTCACATGAGGTCACAAGCCTAGAAAAGCTGCACACCTCAGCATGTTGTGCAACATTGGTTTGTTACTCCTTCAGCACATTTTATCATCATGAAAAGAGTTTTTAATCTCGGGAAAGCCTAAATTAGGGCCGCAGTCTGTTTCTTGCAGAGGGATTCTTCCCAGTAACTCAGGCTGCGGTTGAGGCAAGTATTGTCATGTATTTTAATCAGCCTGTGCGACTTCCTGCTAATTGGATGAATCAGATTGTGGCCGTTCTGCCAGTCTGGACTGAAGAGGGCTTTGTGAGGGCCCCTATCACGTGGCTGGACAAAACATGAGAGCGTGGTCAGTGCTGTGACAGTGTGACAGACTGGGAGTGTGTGTGCGTGCACAAGTTTTATTTATTAAATTAATTTCTCGTCAGGAATTGGGGAAAAAAAGCATGTGGCAAATTAGGCCATCATGTATACAAATGGACGACCTGGTGTCTCCTGGGGTCAGCAGCCCTTGAAGGATTAATTGTCGCTCTTGCCAGTTTCTGTAAGCACTTTGCACAGGTGCATCTTCCAGTCACATCTCTTGAACTCTTGCAGTTCAAGTGCTTCTTTAGAGCGGTCCCTATTGGTGGATAAAATCATGTTTTTTCCAGAATATTGGTAAGATAAAGTCAACGCAACCATGTGGGGGGGGGGAGAGTTTGAACACAATGTTTGTTTCTGTTTTGATGTAAGTAGTTCTTTTCTCCCGTTTCAGAAATGGACTAATGTACAAAGTGAAGAGGCTTTTCTTGTGGATGCTGGGAGTCTACATAGCCATTCCATTCATCATTAAACTGTGCCCATCAATTCAGGCCAAGTTGGTCTTTTTAAACTTTGGTGAGTCAGTGGCCATGCCTTCTGTTTTATCGGTTTTATGATTTCTGTGCATCACTAGCTCAGTGCGTTGTGAGGGTGGCGGGTTTCTTTGCTGCTGTTAGAGACTGCAAGCTCATTGTTTATACTTCCATGAGTCACTCCTTCCAAACGTGTTGCACAGGGCTCGTTCGAACCACAGTGTACCAACAGCCCTCATTTCTTGTATCACCATTCAAAGGCTCTTACGCGTCCTTTTACAGAGAAGTAATGTATGTGAGGATTCTGATTTAACCTGTAGGCTGTGCGTTCAATTCCCAGGTGAGATGCTGTTAATGAAGTAGAGCCAAAGTACTTCACACAGATTGCTGCAGTAAGATCCATCCATATACTTTCTAACCACTTAATCTAACCAGTACGGGGCTCACAGGGGGCCAGAGCCTATCCCAGCATGCAACAGGCGAAGGGCAGGATACGCCCTGGACAGGACGCCAGTCTATCGCAGGGCACAGATGGGCACAGATAGACACAGACAGGCACACACTCACACCGGGGCCATTTTCCCAGAAGCCAGTTAACCCACCAGCATTTCTTTGGACTCTGGGAGGGAACCCACACAAATTAGGGGGAACATGCCAACTCCACACAAACAGCACAGGAACAGGACAGGAATTGAACTTTGGGCCCCAGCACTGCTCACCGCTGCACCACTGCGCCACCCACTCCAGCAAGATAATTAGCTCAAATGTAGTTTGATTTGCATAATAGAGTCAGACAGATAACTATTATGCACAGTGGTCAGCTCCAGGAATGTTTCTGAGAGGGAAAGTATCTAATTTGTCAGGAAATGGCAACAAATGAGAAGACCAGTTTAGCAGGAAAGGTCAGAAACATTGCAGCAGGATTCAAATTATTTCACATAATTTTAGTTGCATTTTTTCAAATTAGCTTTGTACTGAATACAGAATGTCCAATAGACACCTTTAAATACTTGTGTTCACAAATGTATTTCAATTTAAAAGCGTTGTGGTTTTAAACTGCATAATCAGGAGCTGGAGTGTCTGCTCATGTTTTAAAAAATCTTCATGTTTTTAAAACAAGGAGGTGTGTAACCTTGATTCTGTTTCATGCAAAAAGTTGAAATCCCAAAGTAGGTCACAAAACCCAGCAGGAAATAGGACCATACAGAATCATATTCAGTTAGTGACATGTGTTAGTGGTCCTTACGTGATAAACCTGCACGTTGAGCTAATCAGCAAGTAGAATCAGGAAATGCTTAACCAGCAAAATGCTTTTGTCTCTGTTCTCTTTCTTGAGTTTTGAGTGCTGAAGGATGCCCCAGCAATGAATCAGAAACACCCAAAAAAAAGGAACAAAAATGTAAAGCAAATTCCTGAATAGACAGTTATTTTACTGTTGTGAAAGTAGCCGCCTGTGCTAAGATCATTCTTTTTATCGTTTTCCTGTGCCTTCTTTTTTGAACCCTGGTATTTGCTAGCAGACCATGGACAGGGAGCAGAATTGCAAGGCAGAGCTGTATGTGGTGTGGTAACAGTGAAACGGCTGTTGGGAATGATTTTGCCAGTGTGTGCACTTTAAGGAACCTCGTAACTCTAGCAGAGATCAATGACTGGGAAGTGTGTCCCCAGTGAAAGTCTTGAATGCAGGGCACATATAAAAGACATATCAGCTTCAGTAATACCCCTGCACTGTCAGACATGTTGTCAACACAGCAGCAAGTTAATGAGATATACTGTAGCACTGAAGTTGTAGATTGACTACAATAAATAATTACGTTTGCAGACGCCTTTATTCAAGATGACTTAAGTCCAAAGCAATCACTGAACAGAAACAGTTACACAGAGCACCAGCAGACTAGTACACAGTGATGCGCAGGTTTGCAATCCAGCTAATACAGAAAGTGAAAGAGGTGCAGCCAGTACAGGGGGTTGGAGATGGGGCAGCCCTGCTTCATGGTTTCAAGGTGCGCAGCCCCAGGAGAGGATGAGAGGGGGTGTGAGGTGAGAGAGAGGAGGAAGCAGGGTGTGGAGGACAAAGATCTTCGAGGGGGTGATGAGAGGAGAGCAGTGCAGTCAGTGAAGAGTGTGCAGGTCACCAGCTGTAAGGCGGAGGAAATCTAACACAATGTGGAGGTCTTTGTCATGCTTTTCTCCCTAACTGTAAACCTTTTTACATGCGGGTGTATCATGTGTTGCCCTCAGAGACATAGGCAGCCACAGATTTCCACTGTCTCTGAAGAGCCATGTTCTCAATGAAGTAGTTATGGCTACTGTTCCTTCAGAGCTAACTTTAGGTTCTGTATACGAGCAGGGATTTAAAGGCAAACGAAGGCTGTCCCTGATTGAGTAAATTCCAGTGACATCTGCCTGTGCAGCATGGAATAAACCTATTACTTGTTCCAAAAATGAAAGCTGTCCATTTAATCATTACACTGTGCTTTACACTGTTTGCTTATGTTTTAGTGTATTATTTTATTTGATCTATTTGTTACAGATGGAAAGGCTGCTGAATTGGCATGAGTGTGCTGTGAAGCATGGTCGATTACAGAGAGGTTTAGGAAGCGTATAGGAAGTATTTTATGGTTTGCTTGCACAGCATCATGATGAGAAATGAGGGGAAACTGTGAGCTCTGTGTTGCATTAATACTCCAGCCAAAGGAGAGGCTGTTTCTCATTCAGATCGTTTGAGTCATGGAACATATACAGCGAAAGTACACCCCTTTACAATTCTATGTTTTTACATATTAAGACATATCTTAATATGTAAGATTTGTTACACACTCCCTTCACCTAGTCCTCACCAGGTCCAAACAGTAGAGAAATCTAACCTTATGTGACAGATAACACACACAAATTTTACTTTGTCATTGTTTATTAAAGAAAAAAAGTCAGCATTCAGTAGCCTTGATATAAGATGATGTCTTAATATGTGAAACGATAGAATCTTAAGAGGGTGTACTTCTTTTTCACATCACTGTATAGCTAACTGACAGGAAGACTCGGAAAGAAAGGATTTCCTCAATAAAAACAAGGTTATGTCCTTAGGAGTTTAATCCTTTAGAGAGTGCTGTTTATAACATTGGGGGTTTGAGAGCTTTTTTGCAATTATTTCCATTTTGTTCTGAGGGTATCTTGAATCTGTTGGGGAAAGTGATGTTTTCATGTTATTCCCACCTGATTTGGGATCACCGGTCGCGTGTGTTTTCACGACTCGGATCTTGGCTGCGATCACTGCGACTGCACACGGGAGAGAAGGAGGAAGGGTTGGCAGACGCCTCTGACCCACCCACCTTCAAGCCAGTTGACTTTTAACACGACACAGGCTACTGACTGGAAGGGAGGCGCACTCCTCCCCTAAAGCACCGCATGCCTGCAAGCCTCAGGAGGCTGCAGGGGGCGCTCTGACACTGAGAGCCGACAGAGTCCCGGCCGACTCATCCCCTCAGCAGCGTTCAGCCAACAGCGGGCGGCCATGTGAGGAATCCCAGTCACAGTCAGCTAGTGACATGACGCATACCTACAATTCACAGAGTCCAACCTGTACAAGCACCTTTAAAGCCTTCAGAAATCCCCTGGGGACATCTGGTACTGACCGGTCTTTCTCCCAAGTAAATCTGCAGTTCTCTTTTGATATATTATACCATTCTTTGCAGAGCACTTCATTCTATAGCTCAGGATAACAGCTGTTCTGAGAACAGAAGAAAAACAGTTCTGAGAATAGTGGGGTGGCTAACTTTTGAGTTGCTTTAGATGGCATGGTTAGTATGGAACAAAATTAAAAGTGTTGTGAGCGCAGGCTCTTGTGTGCGTGACCTTGCTGTGCCCTGTCTTTTCCAGTGCGGGTGCCATATTTCATTGACTTGAAGAAGCCTCAGGACCAGGGTCTAAACCACACCTTTAACTTTTACTTCCAGCCCGAGGATGGGGTCAACGTCGGAGTCTGGTAAGAGAAACGCTGAGGGGATTCTGGGACATTTCGTGATCATTGCCTAAGCCTCCTGTCACAAGAGCGTGGGAGTGCTCCAGACTGCTGACAGTATCCAGGAGTGCGAGCACGCTCGCAGGGGGCCTGTGTGCCAGCAGCACGGGGCCCTTCCAGGTCTCGCCTGGACTGCTCGCTAGTTTCTCCTCCCTGACAGCGGGAAGGGCAGTCACTCCCAGGAGGAACCAGGCTTCATCCCATTAAATCAAGCAAATTCAACGCGACAGCCACAATTCTATGCCGATGACAAACACAGTCTTCCTCCTAGGCAGAATGACCAAGCCAGCTTTGAGCTGGAAGCGCAACGAAAAACGTTCAGTGCAGAGATTGCTAGAGGAACGCAGAAATGGCAGAGTGGCAAAGCGAGGAAGCAAGGATTCCTCTGGCAGCTCTTCCTCTCTCACTGCTGCCAGGCTCTGGCCAGCTGTGGCCAAGGCCTTAACCTGCACTCAGGTCTGGAGGACACTCTGCCTGGGAGACTCAGGTGGCCAAACATTTTCCAACATGTTCTTATCCATCCATTTTCTAACCACTTCTTCCGCATCAGGACTGCGGGGCAGCTGGAGACAATCCTGGCCAGAAACAGGATCCATCCTCAGACACACACACACACAGGCACACCTGGACCAAGTTTTCCAGTATGTCTTTGGACTATGGGAAGAAACTGGAGCCCCCAGAGAAAACACAAGGATACCATATAAACTCCACACAGACAGCACCCACTCAAGGTCTGGAATTGAACCCAGGGCCCCAGCACAGAGAGGCCTGGGTAGCTCCACATCTTCTTATCTGTCACATAGCAACTTATGGCTGCTGCAGTGTTTCGAAGGTTGGATTTGCACTGAGGTCTGGTAACCTGTGGGTGTCCTCCTCCTGTCCTCAGGCACACAGTCCCTGCCGTGCTGTGGAAAGACGCCCAAGGGAAGGACCAGGCCTGGTATGAAAGCACCCTAGAGTCCTCCCATCCTGCCATGCTGTACTTGCACGGCAACGCCGGGACCAGGTATGGCCTCACTGCACTGACCTGCTCTTAATTTGATTCCCTTGCTTAGCAGACACCCTCATCCACAGAGACTTACAGGACTTGCAAGGAAGCATAAATCAACATCAAAATCAAAATAAGGCGCAAGTGCAAAATTAGAAAGGTTATAAATGAGAGGAGGCTATTCAGTTATTTCATCCCATGATCTCATCTAGGTGATTTTTGAAAGGAGCCAGGGCATCGTCTTCAACAACATGACCGGGCAGTTTGTTCCACACTCCCTCCACTCTTTGTGTACAGTAGTGCCTCCTGTCCTGACTGGAGGTTCTCGTCCATTTGTGTCTTGAGAAGGAGCCAGAGTATCGGCTTCGACGACATGGCTGGGCATCTTGATCCGTACTCCCACAGTCCGTTGTGTAAAAACGTGCCTCCTAATATGCAAACTGCAATGCAAGTGCCACACATAAGCAACAAGAAACGATTGAGGTGGTAAGGTCTAAGGCAACAGCAGCAGACATAGGCAGTGCAGATCGAAAACCATTGAATAAACACCTGCGTCCTCTATTTACAGAGTAACTTGTATTCCCAAAGGGAGAATTACTAAACCGCAGTGCGGTATTGCGAGACAGTTACTGAAGAACGAGTGCTAGGGCGTCGCAGGCGCTGTCGAGCCAGGAAAGTCTTGAACAGGCGCCCGAAAGGCGCCTGGGTTCTGGGGGAATCGGGTACCGCTGAGGGGCAGAATGAGGGGATCGGGAAGTGGCCGGACAGAGACGGGGTACATGAAGCCTGGTGAAAGAGGAGGAGAGGCACTGAACCAGGCTGCAGGTAGGCAGGAGCACAGTGGCGGACAGGACAGGGGTGTTGAATTGCATACGGGTGTCAGTAAGGAGCCAGTGGAGGGACTGGGGCTCCAGGGTAACATAAGGAGAGCAAGGAAGAGAAAAGAGAAGAGGGCAGATCGTGTCGGCAGCAAGGCCTGACAAGAGAGTGATGCAGTAGCCCAGCTGGGACAGTTGCAGGGTCTGGGCTAGCTGTTGTGTAGAATAGTTGGTAAGGAAGCAATGGATTCAGAGACCGTTGTTCGAGAAGAAGTGCCAGAGAAAAATGTTCTGGGAGATGACATCACAGTTGTTCCTTGATCTGCAGTTTCTGCTTGTACTGAAGTTAGAAGTTTATAAATGTTTTAGTACCTCCTTCTCAGTTGCCAGTCTCCATGAGTAAATGCACTAAAGCAATGAGGTGTCGTGCTAATCAGCACTGTACTGTAGGTGTCCTTTGCTAACAGAGTGGGTAAAGTGAGCCACTCTGTTAGCCTGACTTCCTGACCTAAAGGAAAGGAGTTCAGCTGCTCCCCAGTTCTGCTCAAGCCCACACAGCTATATGAAGCTTGTGAGCTGGCGGGTGTCCAGTAAGCAGTTTGTGTCCCTCTGTCTGTCTCTCAGGCGGACCAGCTCAGAGGTCACCGGTCAGCAACACTGTAAATACCCAGTGGCTGTCACATCCTGCAAGGATGTTTACAGCAGTCCTGTCCAGCAAAGAATTCAAATTAAAAGCAGGGTTTTAGAAAATCAATTAACATACTGAAAAGATTAGGAAAAGGAAATATGGAATACATATTAACATTATATAGAATACAAGAAGGGACACAATCTTTTGTGTGTGCAGAACTGAATGTTTTCTGAAATGTATTTTTCATGATCCCTTTTAATAATCCATGTTGTTGGAGTGTATTAAACTGAGAAGGTAGGCGCTCAACATTAGAATGTGTCTGAGAAATTTACCTTGGGCAAAAGTCATCTTTAATATTCAGGAATAGCGATCTGGCCTTATAAGATTCATCTAGTCGTGTAAGCAAGTCTATCTGAGTTCCCCGTGTCTGGGGAACAGGCTACGTTATTAAGTGACTGGAGAGGTTTATTTGTTTGATAGTATCCCTGGAGGGAGATGTGCGTCATGGGCTTGTGAGCCGAAAGCAGGCGGACCGTCTCGAAGATCTGAAACGATGAGCCCAAGAGGGGTACTTGGACATTGCATTTCAAGAGTTGTGCTGAATTAAAACAAGGGGTTGAGCTGTGAGGAGAGTTGTACAGTCTGTAATGTCACAATGTAATGAACTGTAATGTCACAATGTCACTGTCTTCCTGCAGGGGAGGAGACCACAGAGTACAGCTGTATAAGGTAAGACTTGCAGGCTCACTGCTTACAATTCTGACCTTGTCATCTAGAATTAGAAAACCAACTCTGAACTCCGTTTTGTCTCAATAATCATAGTGAGTAAATGACTCTGTAACGCATTTACAAAAACCTATGTTTTGAGTTTTTAAAAACAGTTTTGGAGAAACGCTTGTGTCTGAAAGATACTTGTAAATTGCTGATGTGAATTATTTTAATTAGTGTTTCAGAATTCGGCAGCTTTCTGTCCGGTTTAAAATACCGTTTTGTGAAGTGGTTTTCTTTTTCTTCAAAGGTTCTCAGCTCCCTGGGCTACCATGTAGTCACATTTGATTACAGAGGTAAGTAGCAATGACATGTCCATTTGTTTTCTAGTAGCGTGAAGCTCTGAAATGAGGCCGTTGCCTGTGTTTCCTGTCAGTGGCTCTGCGAGTGTGTTGGAGCTCCTGGTGGCATGAGCACGAGGGCAGTGGGGTGTCAGAGGTGTGACTGCTTCTTTCAGGCTGGGGAGACTCTGAGGGCAGCCCCTCCGAGAGAGCCATGACGGCCGATGCCATCTTCCTCTACAACTGGGTGAAACAGAGGATTGGGAACAATCCTTTATACATCTGGGGCCATTCCTTAGGGACAGGGTGAGTCTTACTAATATTCCTTTTGACTCACACTGAGATTTTCTGGACACTCCACTCAAAGCACTTTACAGGTAATGGGGTCTCCCCTGCATCACCACCAGTGTGCTGCCCCACATGGATGATGCACCAGTACGCTCCTCACACACCAGCTCTCAGTGGGGAGGAGAGCAGAGTGATGAAGCCAGTTCAGAGAGGGGGGTTATTAGGAGGCCATGATGGGTAGAGGCCAATGGGAAATTTGGCCAGCACACTGGGGTAACACCCCTACTCGTTTTGAGAAACGCCCTGGGTGTCTTCCTGCCATTACCGAACATGGGACACTTTAGAGAAAAGCCATTATATCCTGGCTCGAATTTCTGTTTAAAATTCCAGGATAAAGAGAATGGCATTTTTGCTTTGCTGTTCAATTAATGGGGAGGCATGATTGCAGTAGCATGAAGGCACAGTGCTGACTTGCAAAGGGTGTTTTTTCAGCTGAATTTGACAAACTTCTGAACTTTGTTTAATCCACACTTAAAAGATAATACTTGGATTTAGAAAAGACTGACTAATCCCCCCAGTGTTACAGGCATTGGATGGGGTTTGAGCCTGATTCTAAGGCATGGAGCTTCACCTCACTGATTCAGAACAGATGATGTGTGTTTTCTTTACTGGTCCACTGATGTCTCTGCAGGGTTGATATTACTTTCGTTTTGGCTCTAAGGAAAACTCTTCATCACTAATGAGATTTATCCTGTTGTCTTTTCCAGTGTGGCAACAAACCTAGTAAGATATCTGTGTGACACAGGTAAGCATGCACTCATTATGTTAAGACCCATTGTACAAAGCTAAATATACCCCATATCTAATCTGGCTGAAGGAACAAGTCTGTCATTGCAGGCTTGCTAGATCCCCAGTGCTCTTTAGACAGAATTAATGTGGAGCACGAAAATGAAGAGTAAATGTTCTGTCAAACTCTTTTGCACAGAGGGCATTTTGCTTCATCTGGGATTCTTATCTGACACATTTCTTTTTTTTCTATTTTTTGGGAAAAACCTGTGAGGCTCCGCTACAGGTGTATGTCACAGATTATACCGTACCTTGTAAATGTTTGAATTATTTTTAATTTATAGAGATTTAACTCCAGGACAGCAGTTTAAGGTACATTTGGGAAAGCAAAGTAGATGTGGCGATATGTATGAAGTCTGTAGAAGCTGGCATCTTTATGGAACATTTCACAGGATTTCCATCCATGCATTCATTTTCCAACCACCTATCCCAGCAATCAATGGGCACAAGGCAGGGTACACCCTGGACAGCACACCAGTCCATCACCAGACACTGTCACAGACACACACACGCTCACACCAGGGCCAGTTTTCCCAGAATTAACTTGTCTTTGAACTGTGGGAAGTTATGGTGCACCGTCCTGTGGATCCAGAATGAGGGGCTGTAGTGACAAGGGGTCTCCTCATCCAGGAGAGACTTTGGGTTATTAGCTGTATAATTGTATCTGTCCACAGGGCACTGTGAGTAGCGGCAGCGGTTGGTTAGCACACGGGTGTAGCTGTGTGTAGGGAGGGCCGTTGCTGAGAGACCTTGTCCTTTGTCAGTGTGGTCTGTGCGTGAGGGTCATCAAGTGTCTGAGCAGGGAATCTCTCACTCCGTCCCTCAGACAAGTTAAAACTGTACATACAGTATTAGCAATATAAATCATCAATTTCCCTTCGGGATCAATAAAGACTTATCTATCTATCTAAAGCAAACACAAAGAACATCATGTCTTTTAGTCAAATAACTCAAACCTTTGCACTGTGCTGAAGGTTAGACAAAACCTTGTAATTAAAGAGAATGAGGGTAAATGGACACTGTACGCAGGCTCACATGTCTGTCTGCTCATGGAAACTCATACACGGCTGCTCTTGTGTCTTCTTGCGTTTTCTGTCCAGTGCCTTGTAGATCTGAGCTCATGTCCTCGATCAGCTCTGTCACTGACTGTAACACCCAGAACGAGCCTAACTGGCATTGTAAATCAAAATAGAAACAGGGAACAGTTTACCAAAGACGAAAATACGGAGACACAGAGCTGTGAAATTTTCTAACAACACTATGTGGAACCAGCAGTACCAAAAGAATAGTTTTTCTCTGGACAGGCACCAAGACAGTGATCCACACTCCCAACTTGTTAATGTTGCTGATGGGACCTTAGCGAGGACAGCTGTTAAATAATTAGAGATTAAAAATTCATGCCTTTTGTTACAGGCATCTCTAATTACTGCACTGTTTTATAAGTGATGTGTTAAGTGTCACATAATCCTCCCTACATGACGAGCCTTAAATAAGCCAGCTCTGGTTTTTCACTGATAATTACCATTGTAGATCTATGAATCTGAATGTTGCGTATCCGGAAATTGTTCCATGGACTGATAACTGCGATGTGTCTTTGTCATAGGGAGCCCTCCTGATGCCTTGATCTTAGAGTCTCCCTTCACCAACATAAGAGAAGAAGCAAAAAGCCACCCCTTCTCTATGGCAAGTCCATATCCCCCATCTCCTCTTTCTCCCTCCTCGCGTCCTGTTTGACAGACTGTGACTGGGTCCTGTCCTCTAGTCACAATAGGCTCGATCTGAACTGTTATATGTTACATGTGATATAGCTTGTCACTCTGATGGGAAATGCTATGATAGGAGTTGATTTGTTCTTTCAATCAGTCTGTGTGCTTCTGTTTTCCGTACAAAGGAACTTTACTTTGTGCTTTTCAAATGCTCCCTAAGAACATAAAATATTAACATCTGAGTGAGATCACTAGATCAATGTCACCTCTGTTAAATTCTTATGTTACTTAGGATCTGTGCAGGTGCGGACTAAAAATCTTTTCATGAGATATTACCATTTTCGGCTGCACCATTTATTTAATTTTTTTTCCTTTTCAGATTTACAGAAATTTGCCGGGATTTGACTGGTTCTTCCTGGACGCTATAACCGCCAATGACATTCGGTTTGCCAGCGATGAAAAGTAGGTAGAAGCTTTTCTCGTTCAACTGTAGGTCGTGTGAGATCAGGGTCTGGCAAACGTCCTGCTGGTTTTAGACAAGAAGCTACCGAATTTTTGCTGAGCCTGAAACAAAAGCTAGCTTTTCCCTGTAAGTCACAAAATCATCATTAAATACGTTTTCAGACATGCCAAGTGATGACTAATGACTCTTTAAAATGTTAGCTCAGCAGTTCCAGGTACCTAAACCATGTCAGGTACTGATTAATGGCACAGCTTTCTGTCTTAGACGGAAGAGCGCTGAACTATTTTGTTCTTTTGCTTAGAAGTCTGGTTTGAAGTTCAGTTCAATTCACTTCTGAAGACCTCTTTCATCCCCAAGGGCGGCAGTTTAAGCAGTAGTGAAAGTAGGAATTGTGCGGAATTTCGGAGCTCTGGGATGATTCCAAGTCACTGAGAGTAATGATTAAAACAAAGACATCCACTCTTCCCAGCCGACGCCCTTGTAGTCGGCAGTGGCACTGCTCACAATGGCGTTGTGCATGCAGTCATGGAGACCAGTACACAAGCATGCAGGTCTGTCATTATCTTGCGCACCTAATAAGCACCTTTGTGCCAGCTCTACTGAAAACACAAGCTTTTATAACATTTCACACCAATTACCTTCTGTTATGCTTCTTTTTTGCATACAATGTCACATAATCACATAATTGTAAGAATAAGTGTGGCTCTTGGAGGATTAAGGCTGAGGTAAACTGATACCTCAGTAACACTGGGTCTGGGAGTTGGTGTGCTGTAGCTAGTGATTTCTTGCAAAGGCAAGCCCAGTAAACAGACACAAATGCAGCCATAAGGTAAGAATCCAGTGCTCTTTATTCAGAATGGTTGAGCTGCTTTATTTTACTTCCTGCAAAGAAAAAAAAGACTACGCTTCTTTTGTGCTCCTAACTGATTTCTTCCGCCCCTCACTATACATACAGTACCTGCTTCCACATTGAGATCTCACTCTGAAATCCTCACGAACTCAGTCTCTCTCTGGGAGTTTCTCTCAGCCTCTTCCGAACAAAACACTCCTCAAAACGAAGTTCCTCTCTTGAGACCCGCGGTTCCTGGTCAGTCAGAACCTCCTCCAGCTGGAACTGGAAGGCTCTGCTTTCTATGAGACAGCATCTCATTCACTCACAGCATGATGGGTAATGTGGTTTGGACAAACAACTTCATCTTGTCTGAAATACAGTCCTCTGATGCTGGTTCTTGTCTGAAAAATACAGGTACTTGCAAATCGGTACAACTGATTTGTTCTGTTGAATCTGGAGCCACAGGAAGCTCTTCACCTCAGACAGAGGATGACCCTGCTAACAAGGTCCTGTTCTGTTGTGAGTGGGTCTCCATGGTGACCAGCAGTCTTCAGCTGTTGAGGCATGTCCTGTATTTAAGCAACAATACTGAAGGTGTTTCAAACTCACAAAGCACCTGCTTGTTGTACAAAAAGGACAGTTGTCGTCCAGAATCTCAGAGGCTCCAACGTATTCATTTCTGTTGATGTATAGGGAACAAAAAATCCCTCTGCTTTACATTTTACCCCATCAAGACCACACATTCTTCTCAGAAATTACTCAAGTTAACCCTCAGTAAGCAAGTTACTATTGTGTCCTGTACTGTGAAGTAAGTAAACGCATCATACTCTTTTTAGGCCTGACAATAGGTCCATATCAAACTTTCAAGCTAAGGTCAATCTGGAAATCATACAACTGTAATATAAGTTTTACTCACAGCCTGATAGTTTTCTTATTCAGATCGGTATTGGAACTGAATTGGTATTGGTTTCGGGCACAGATTTTATTATTTGAATTGGTAAAAGCAATATCGGTTGTTTAGGGATTAGGGATTACCTACTGTATATGTGGCTTCAGTCATATTTTTGTTTGGGGAGGATGATGTGTGTGAAATATGGATTGTGAAGACCTTTGAACATTGTCTTTGTTGTCATGGCTCAAGCCATGGCTCTTGGGTTTTCTTCCCTATGACTTTTGCACTCATTCCAGTTTAGATAATCGCTGTTTCTGTACTCGGCACTAAAAAACACAGCAGTACCCCAGTCAGCTCCCTCTTGTTTCCACAGTATGAACCACATCTCATGTCCGCTGCTGATTCTCCATGCAGAAGATGACACTGTTGTGCCATTTCACCTAGGAAAAAAGGTGCGTTTCTCTTCCCATGGATCATGGAGGTGTTTGTGTTTTCCTAGTCACAGCAGCTCTAACTATATGATATCAGAGGCTTGTGGGACATGTTTCACTTGCAGCACGTGAGTTTCTAAAACTAATTTATAAGTTAGAGGAAAAAAGAGAAATAGTATTGTCCAGTGCGCTTAAAGATTTGCTCCAGAAATGCTTAAATAGAGAAAAAAATGTATTTACAACAACATCTGGGGTCAAAAGAGTGACATCATCTTCAGCACTGCAGGAAACCCAGGAGCACAAGTGTTATAGCCCTTCTGTAAGCGGCAGCAGGGATCTTTTAAAGTAGAATTTACATGGCACATTCAAGCTATTTAAATTGGTATTTTATCACACACATGTGGGATAATACGAGGCACACCACATGAGCACCGATGGGTCACTCCTGTGCACACAGGCTGCTGCTCTGAGCCTGACACGGCTGCTGCTGTTCTTCAGCTGTTTCTTCATGTCTTCCCACAGCTTTATAACATCGCTACACAGTCCAAAGGCCTGAGCGGACACAAAGTTCAGTTCATTCCATTCCCCAAGGCCCTGGGCTACAAGCACAAATTCATCTACAGGAGCCCAGAGCTGCAGCATATACTGAGGTACCCTTCTCTCTCCTGGAGCTGACCATGGACCGACTGAGTGGCAGCAGTAGTCAGAGGGGAATATACCTTGTAGCTGCGTATTTGAAAAATGTCCACTGTTATGTGATTATGCAGTTTTAAGTGTGTTTAGGATGACTTGAGTCATAAAATAAGCGACACTGATATTGTTTCGGAATGATCCACTGCTGCTGTTCACCACATTAGTTTAAGCCTCATCATGAAACCAGTAAACAAGGAATCGGTTAACTCTTGCAGCTTGCCTGGGTCATGAAGCAGTTACGTTTTACAACAGATCAGATTACAAGATTATCTTTACAAGTCCTTGTTTTTGTGGATTGATTTTAGGGATCTGCCAAGGTATATACTTCTGTGAAAAAGGAAATTTTCTAGATCTTATTATTGAAATAGACCTCATTTTTAATTTGATTCTCGTTTTTTGTCTGTCCAGTGATTTCCTAGGCACCTCCCATTCGCAAGTATAGTTTGCCACCATGGCACCTGACTGTTCCTCCTCACCCCACACCTCTTCCTGCGCCGGCCCCCCGGCCCCCCCAGCCCCCGACACACACAGTGATCCACGCATGCAGGTCGAGGCGCTCTGCTCATCTCTGTCATCCTTCAGAGCCGGACATGGGAGTAAACACGACAGAAACCGCGTGTGGGTCTGTATGGATGCAGAAGTGAGAAACAGCTCAAGCACAAAGACGATTACCTGCACTATCAAGCGCCTTGGCACTGGACCTCAAGCCTGAAAGGGACAAAGGATCTGAGGGCGCCCGGGACATTTAGCTGCACCGCAACGACGAGGAGGAAGGAGTTTCTTAAAAATCTCAACGTGTTACATCTAGACATGAGAAACCAGTCTGCGTGCTTGGTGAACAGGAAGATTTCACAACTGGTCAAGCAGATGCGAAAGCCCGGAAACTGGACTAAACTGGGCTGGATTGGATTTTTAAATTTGAGCCTTTATCGTTGACTGGCGGACCTGGTTCCGGTTCCGACAGAATTTGGCAGGCCCAGAGATCCAGGCAAGAGCATGTTAGAATTCAGCAGGATATGTCAACGGTACCCACTATAAAAATGTCATTTTGTTATATATTTCTGAATATATGGATTTTATCAGTAGTTTTCTTGGTCTGCTTAGAGGCCATTACAAACGGCTGCGTCTGAGTCTAATCCCTAACTTATTCCCTTGCATGACAAGGGAATGATCTGGCAAAGGTTCAGGCGTACTGTATGTTGTCCAATCCTTAGCTCATTTTCCATAGGATCTTACCCCCTGTTGCCAGGGATACCAACAGAATCCCTGTTAAGTGGACCAGACCTCTTTTAAGAGGAGTTCCCAAATTAAACAAAGTGTTCTGGAAATTACAAATTGTAATTTCTGAGTGTCAGACTGTCACTCTTATAATCTGTTTGTGTGCAAATACTTTAATTGGATAAAATCCCCTGTCCATGCCAGAGAAGTGACTCAAATTAGAATAGGCTTTCAAAGCTTGACAAATAACAGCAGTAGTGCTGGAAAGTTTAGATGCCCTGGGAAATATAATTGAAAATCAATTGAACTTTGTAGTTGAAATGATAAATGCAACGAAGTAGACCTATCTAAAATGTATAAATCGTCTTGTATTCTAAGTGGGCATTAATTTTCCCTACTGTGTTTTTCAAACCATACATATGCACGAGACTGTTATTTATGCTTTTTGCAATACTGACCTGTCATAAACTACCCCCTCAGTTATAGAAGGGCAGTATTTTAGATTTCATTCAAGAATTAAATGTTGCAAAGGCACCTGTGTAACAAACAAGGTCACACAACTGCATCAAGCACCACAATAACTTCTCATAATAACTAGAGCTCTCCGAACACACAGGAACACCTGGCAGGAGATTGTTGAGTTTCTGAGCTGCTGCCTTTCAGCCTTTCCCTGTTTTCCTAGTACAACTCTTCTGAATTTTTATAGCCTTAAAGTAATAATCTGCAGGTGAGGTACTAATGGAGATTAAAACCCATATTGCTTCGTTGGAATTGAACGATTTAATTTGCACTACACATGCTGAGTGCTTCTCAGTAGGAATTCTCCAGGTTCTGTTGTGCAATAGTCACCTGTACTTTTCAGACAGGTGTCACATTCTCACAAAATTAGCTTAGTATTGAAAATCTACAGGAGATGAAAATAAGGTCAGATGTGGGTTTAATGTGTAGTTTAAAAGGAAAGGGTGATTTATAATTTGATTTTTTTTATTTTACTTGCTTTTTACTTTTTATGGCATAGGGGGAAACATACCAGTGAGTGATCTGAAACATGAAGGAGTTCTACACTGTGTGTTTGGGTGTGAGAGAGGCGTGTTGAGGTCTCTCTCGTGTGCAGGTCCAACAGCAGCTGAGCTAGAGATCATGGAAATGCTCCTTTTCCTTGTGACAGTGCAGATTCTTCTGCAGAAAAGCCACGGCTTCTCTGTTAACCCTGCACTTCACCTGCTGTCATGAAAATAAAGTGGCAGACAGCATGAAATCGCTTCTGAGCAACTACAGCTTTTCTCCATTGGCTGTAGCTTCTGTACAGCTTCCTACTGTATAACATCCTTCATGCTTCAGATTTCCACTGATAAGTCTTGTTTAATTTATTAACCTCTTATACATTAAAGCAAATCTCTTTTTCCAGTTTAAGTGCTTGACAAGTGAGCACTTCTTTGTAGTCTAAGAGAGACACAGGCATGCAGTGAGTGGAGTGCCAGCTGTGCCAACTGTAGTGGTTTGCTTACCTGGAGGATTCGGCCTATCGCGCTTCATTGCAGAACTCCTTTGTAAGTAGAAAAAAGAAACAGCTGACATGCACACGACTTGTATTTGTCCTCGGTGGCTCTGGACACATTTAATTTTTTCCATGAGTTGGTGAAAAAAAAAAAAGGAAATGCCACAGATCCTGCTTTGTACGTACCAAACCACCTGGGCAGAGAAACAGGAAATAAAAACTTGAAACTGCGGGATGGTCCTGGGCAGCTGGCAGCCTTGGATGAGCCAATAGATGATGTTTTAAAACTCCAGGGTTTGTGTTTGTTTTCTTATCTCACTTGGTTCTTTTAAGAGACTCACAGGGTCTTTCATTCATGTACTCCAATATCTTACTCTAAAGATCCATTAATGGGCATTTACTGGAAGATGTACTGTAACTAACAACAGATCATTAAATACAATGACTCTGATGTTTCTTTACTTACTGATACTGTACTACTGCTGTATTGCCTGATGTCAGCTATAATTTATCATTGTTCAGAAACCTAATGAAAACCTTTCATGAATATATTTATAACAGGCCAGTGTCTTTTAATTATATGCTCTGAGTAGCCATTAAATCTTCATCCACATTACAAGCGTGGAACATTAACACTGAAACTGAATTTTATTTAATGTGCAAAGACACTGCCATTATTAGTATTATTATAAATGTTTAATCTAAAAACTTACAGCAGCTACCCGCTATATTGGCGTTTTCTACTGACTTGTCTCATTACATTCATACTCCTGACTTCTCTGGTATTCAGCTGTGGGCTCTGTGCGAATGTGAGGATGTTTCTATTCAGACTTGCTGTGTCTAACCAGCCGAAACGGCTAATAAAACAGTTGGTGGGTGATGGACAGTGATCTGAAAAAGTGTCATACTGCTGATCGTTCCCAGCCCTGTTCATTTTTCTTAATACAGTTTAAGAGTTTTTAATGTTTATTTAAAAAAAGAATTACACTTAAAAAATATCACTCTAGATATCATGCCTTTTGGAAATTGAATCTGGCAAGGATACCAGGAGGAATTAGATGAATAAGGGGTTGTATGAGGGGGCTGTGAGTTCTGCTGCCACAGAGCTCTTGGATCCTGGGTTCAGTTCTGGTCTGGAACACCTTCTGCGTGGAGTTTGCATGTTCTTCTTGTGTCTGAGTAGATGTTGTCATTGTGCTTTATCTTCTTACCACCTCCCAGAGGCATTCTGGCTAGGATAACATTCTTTCTTGGGTATCTGGGGTATAAAGTTCTGCCTGATACATCCTGATAAAGCTCTCGGTTGACACAATTGCTGCCAGGAATTAGTGGCTTTCTGCAAGCATGGATGAGATTAGTACTTCCTTAACAGCAGCTGAAGAATAGCTGGGTAACTCCAATAGTACTGCTGTGATCACCTTCAAGGGCTTTCAGCTTTGTGTGACTGGTCATAGTTGAGCAAGTCAGAAATATGGTCTCAATATAATTTAAAATAGAATGCAATAAAATAGTGGGTGGCGTGGTGGCACAGTTGTTAGCATTGCTGTCTTGCAGCGCTGGGGCCCAGGCTACAATTCCTGGGGTGCTGTCTCTGTGGAGTTTGTATGTTCTCCTGTGTTTCTGTGTTTTTTTTCCAGGTTTTTCAGGAGGTTCTGCTTTGCTCCACCAGTCTAAAATATATACTGGTAGGTTAATAGGCTTCTGGGACATTTGGCCCTGGTGTGAGTGTGTGTGTGCCCTGTGAATTGTACCCACTGCTCACCAGGATGGGCTCCGGCCCCACTGCGACCCTGTAGTGGCTAAAGCGGATCAGGAAATGGCTGGATGCATGAAATAAAACAGCAGGTATCTATCCATCTGCACATGTAGCACTGTCTTTAAATACTTACACTATACGTGCTGAGAAATGGTGACATTAATTTGGCAATGTATGCATCTTTACAGCCCTTTCACTTTTGTGTGAATAGTGATTTTAATTGAAACACAACATCCATGTCACAACTGCAGTGGAATGAAATATACTTGAATATCCGCAATGTACACAAGATACTGTAGCACCCCAGTAGAACACAGCCTGTTCAGACTGCAAGCCAGCAAAGTGAACGACCTAAAGACTTACTTCATGTTTTCACGTCGTGGGTCTGTTAGAAGTGTCGCTTGTTCGGGGCTGACACTGCACCGACCCTAGACGCGGTGAGCACTGCAGAGCGGCACTGCCGGCACCAGTGTGGGATCCATCGTTGATGTTTAAGCCAGTGAAGTGGACCCTGCTTCTACTTACTGAACGAATGCTTTGCAAATCCATATGCCAGGGCGGACTGCTGTTTCAGCACTCCTTTTCAAGCGGCAAATTAATGTATTTGATCTATTCTTTGTCTTTAATGGTGCAGAGAGGGGAGGAGATCCGAGCCGTTCCACCCCGTTTCACTGGAATTACAGCACAGGGCTCGTCTGCAGCTCTAGGTCCAGTAACCCTCTCTGCCGAGTAAATACAGCTTGTAGAGACTTCTGGTGGAAACTGTGAACTGAATCTCTCTGATTCAGTTCACAGTTTCCACCAGAAGTCTCTACAAGTGGCAGGCGGGGCTGCTGGGGGCACCCCTCCAGCTGAAGTGGGGGCAGGGAGTGAAGTGGCCCAGACGAGAATTGTCAGATGAAGCATGTGGTCACTGCAGAGCCCTTGGGTTCTGAGATTATTTACGTGGAACACAAAGGGCACACAGAGGAAGGGAGGGCTTGGAAAACTTTTCACTTCTGCAAGCTGAAAACCCTCCTTTATGCAGCGGGAGCTGAATTTATACGACTGAGTTTTTGCACAGCTGCACTGAAACTAAAATTGTCAAACAAGATTGCCATTTTGGTACCAGTATGCCCAGTACTGGAAGCACCATGCCGTTCTAGAGAGGAGGTCCTTGTGTATCCACATTCCTGGGTTGCGGTGTCCCTGCCTGTTCTGAGTGTTGAGCATGGACACCGCAGTAAGGTTGTGCTAGAAGATCTGGATACGTGGGCTTCTGCAGTCCAACAGGAAGCCTTGCTGCTGTGATCTCAGGAAGTGAAGGCACTTGGCTGTTTAAGCAAAACCCGGTTGGCATGACAGCATAGAGAAACCGTGTCTTTGGCCATCTTCCTCTGCGTGCCACCATGCAGGCTGTTCCTGGGGCTGGCTCTGCGGGGTCACCTACACATCCATCTGTCCAGTTTCTGACCACTTCTCCCAGAGTAGCAGGGAGGCCAGAGTCTGCCACGGCAAGCAACAGGCACAAGGCAGGGTTCACCCGGCTCCTGCAGGGCGCACACAGACACACGCTCACCCCAGGGCCAGTTCTCCCAGAAGGAAATTAACCTACCAGCATGTCTTTGGACTGGGGGAGGAAACCCGCATGGACACAGGGAGAACAAACGCCACACAGACAGCAGCACCCCAGGAGTGGAATAGCAAGGCTGCAATGTTAACCATTGTGTGTGTCGGTCTCCATGACGAAGTCAATCCAGTCGGAAGACTTGGGAATACTTTTTGAGTATTTTAGTATAATAGGTTTCGGCTTAACCCATTTGGTTAAGGGGTAGCCTGCTAGCCTCAGGCCGAGGAGCTCCAGAGCCCCAGAGAGCAGGGTTAACCCAGGTGGAGATGGGCTGGAGGCGTGGAACGCGCACGTGAAAGGAGTTGTTTTGCGTGAGAAACTGACGCAGCACATTTCGGCAATGGTTATGATTGAAACTTCAATGGTGAGTGACAACTTCCGTTTAAACATGTAACTTGATGTCTGTGGCGGACCGGAATGTTGAAGAGGGAGCCCCGCTAGTCCAACGAGTTTTCCACCCAGCCCACGGCCACAAAACAAGTCCCCCACCTCCCCTCCATGCCTGGTATTTTCACTTTATCTGGTGAGAAAATATACTTAGCAAATTGCCTTTTTTATAATTCTCTCTATGTATTACACAAAAATGTAAACTGCTACCAACTTGCAGCTTACAAAATAAAACTCCAGCTTTCTTTTTCCACTCCACTGCCTGAACAATTTTAAAATCCTTTGATTAAATACAGTTTTCCCCCCCAAAATGCAGTGGACCTCTTTAATTCAATCTGTTTATTGTTGCGAGTCCAAGTTGTCATAAGATCACGGAACCACACAGCATAAAAACAGAGTACAGTACTTAACCGTTAAGGTAAGGTGAGAAAACCTTGAGCTGCAACAGAAGATTCCAGAGTGTCACACACATTCACAAGCACACAGCTAAAATAATGCTGTTGTTTTAAAATACAGTAAAAGCAGAACAAAACACATTCAATTTCCATTTTTTTAGTTGCAATAATCATTTGAGATAGATAGCACTCCAAAGCCATTGGTTGTAAGTAAGCCCTATTGGTTCTACAAGATGCTCTTGAAGAGTACAGTACTTAAAAATCTCTAAGTCACTGACTTTACGTTCATCCCTGGCTGTAGTTCTATGGTCCTCCTTTGAGCCTTAAACCATGCTGTCTGAGCATTGTGTACAGAAGAAGATCGAAACCCATTCACTAACTAAGCATACAGGGAAGAAATGTGTAGTACAGAGCAATTTCCAACAATTTACAGGCAATGGAACCCAATTAAGCTTTATTTTCAGTGCAAGTTAATTTCTCTGGGGAATATAACTCATACTGGTCTTCATACTGGTTGTAAATATGCACGGAAATTTGCTTACAAACTCTTTTTGTTTTTTCCAAGCTACGCTACATTGAATTCCATTCCCTTGTAACTCAGGCGTGATTACCTCAGTGCAAAGCCAGTCAGGGAAAAGCCAAATCTCACTGCTACAAAGCGATGCGAGACCGTGTCTGTAAAGTTACTATACTTTTGAAGCCGATTTCCACCTCTCAAGCCCGGTACCTACCGGCCCGTTCCCTGTCTCGCCGAAGGCTGGGCGCATCATTAAACCAAGCCAGGGAGAGGCCGGCGGACAGGAGCCCTGCCTCCTGGGAGCCTTCACTCGCGGGGTACGGTGGGGGGGGGGATCTTGACATCGGAGGGCTCCACGCCCCAGATCTCCCGGGCGTACTCGCTGATGGTGCGATCGCTGGAGAACTTGCCGGAGGCGGCCATGTTCCTGATCACTTTTTTTGTCCACTCCTTTGGATTCTGGGAAGAGCGACAAAAAGGAGCTGAAAACTGAACTGCGTTGGTCTTTCTGAGAACCTTCCGGCGAAAGGGGGGGTTGCAGATTAGAAAGGGCATCTATGCAGCTTCAGTCCTGGACGTGAAATTGCTGTTAACCTTTAATAAAACGTTTCCTTTTGAAACATTTACTGCCTCCCTTTTTTGTTGCTGCCTCATGTCGCCACAGCCCACACGGTGAGCCAAGCAGGAAGTTCACCTTTGAAACCTCACATGGTGCCGAATAAAAGGTGTGCACTCAATCAGAAGAGAACTGATCCCAAGCATTGTGCTTAGTGTTTAACTTAGCCACAGCAAAAGCTTACTCAATGAGCACTGCTGAGGCACAAGACGGACCCACACAACTACTGATTCTCTGTCTCCGGGGAGGAGAGATGTCTGACTTTCACTCACGCCTCACAGTTCCTCAGGGTTTCTAGCTCACTTCACGTTTGCACAAACCCCAGAGTCATGGACTGAATCGACGTGTGGTGACATTAGAAACAGCGCCATTCGGCGTTTTCCCAATTACTTTAGAATACATTAAAAATCGCAGCACCAGTAATAAAGATCTCTGCAGAAGAATGAGTAAAGCTCAAATCACTTCCTGTAGGCCTGTCTGAAAGGCGCTCTAGGTTCAGTGAAGAGCCAGCAGCAGTGGAAGTGGAACTGAAGTACGGAGTACCATTATAGAGCTGAGCTTCAGTTCCCAGATCAAACAATACCTTTGCTGCATTACTAGGTTACCACATCCCCAGCTGAAGCAAAAGACCTTGTTTCAGAATCAGAGACATGAAAGTGACTGATACTGTAACTGCTAACCTGGACTGGTAAGACGTATGAATGAGGTTTCTTGTCAGTACGTAAGAAGTGCTCTTCCCCTGCGCAGTTTGAACCCTACCTTGTAGAGGTCGCTGACCTTTTCCTGACAGCTGATGTACGCCTCATAGTCGGCAAACACTTTGAATCTGTGAAAAACAGGAGAAATGTCAGTGAGGAGCTTGACAGATGTGCTACATGTTTCTTTTGGAAAAAGAGTTTTCATCAGCTGCATCAGACTCATGCAGTATGATCAGTCGAGTTCAAGTAAGCCTTATAACCACCAAAACCCTCTTCCTGAATTTTAGAGGTGGCAGTGATTTACAGACACCCTCAAACCTGCTGGGCTGTTGCTTTCGAGGACTGTGTTTGGCGAGACCTGCTCTCACACAGGCCTCCCAGCTGGGTTCTGCTTGCATAATCTAGACAGGCCCAGGAGCTGTGCTGCAGCGACTTCAGAAAGAAGATGATTCTGTGATTTTTAAAAACAGTCTTAGGGGTTTCTAGACATTGTGAAATGCAGAGCAGCTCCTGACTTTAATGTGTGGTAACTACTGTATGTGAAGAGGAGACTGGACTTGGTGCGTTACTGAAGCGGCAGATATCAGAGAAACTCTCTCTTCCAACATCATTGCCAAGCTGCTCAGAAGGGTCAGTATTTCTGCCTCCCCTCCCACACGGCAGCCAGCAGCTGCAGGGAAACGCTCCCTAGCTCACCTGTCGTGGTACAGCAACATGTTGACGACATCCTTGAACAGGTCTGGCTGTTTGGGGGAGAAGAAGCCACCGCTGATCTGATCTATGACCTGCCGGAGCTCTGGGATGCGGTCATAGTAGTCCTTGGCGTTGTAGCTGCAGAGACACACAGCACAGGCCAATCAGATCGCACTCATGCTCCGAGGGCTGGTGACATCATCGGACCCTGCAGTACTCTCTCCTGTCGCCGGGGTTACCGACAGCTCACGGGCCAATCAGATCGCACTCAGGCTCCGAGGGCTGGTGACATCATCAGACCCCGCAGTACTCTTGTGTCGCCGGGGTTACCGACTGCTCACGGGCCTCAACTGAATGAAGATCAATGGTTTTATCCACATGTTTAAGATTCCAATCACCTATTATCTTAGACACAATACCAACAACTCAGACCACAGCTAATACAGTAGTATTGGCAAAATGATCGTGTCATTTATATTACTTGTGCTTTTTCAGAGAAAATATTTCAAAATATGGCATAGTTCTCAGATTGGACTAACATATTACTGTATGAAACCCCCCATGCTGACTTGTGAGTTTAAACTTTTCACTAAATTCTTTTAGATTTCAATTCCTGTTTACAGATCTGAGCAGATCTGAGCCTGGTCGGAAGGGAAGCGTGTCTGCAGGTTTTCATTTTGACCCTTCTTCCATTCATCCATTTTCCAACTGCTTCATCCAATACAGGGTCGTGGGGGAGTCCGAGCCTAAACTCATCTTTAAAAAGCTGTCACCCAGTGAGCTTGCTTAACTGGACCAATTCAACAGTTTCTGTAAGCTCATCAGACGCTGTAGCTTTAAAGAGACTCAGAAATCCTGTAGACACGCCAGTCTCTAACACTAGGACTGGAAACCCTGGTGTGCTGTAGGCTAACAAGTACTGCCATCTGGTGGTAAATAGAGGACATTACAATACAAGTAAAAATGAAGGCTTTAACAACACACTAAAGAATTTTCTTGAGAATTTACAGTGAATAGGTGATAAGATTTTGCAGATATTTTAATACCAAAAAGCAAGATGATAAAGCATGTTTCTCATTTGCAGGTTTACTTATAAAAGAAAGATGAAGAAATGTGTCAGTATCACTTATTACTTCTGGTTTAAATATTCTTCAGTGAAAATAAAGGAAGGTCGGAAAGTAGCTTTGACGCTTGGGGAAACTCGGCTTGAACAGCAGCTGAGACCCAGTGCTCTGCTCTCTGGTTCAAAGTGGCCTTCAGGACAGCGCAGAATCAGTTTACAGGGCTGAATATCCGTCACTATCCAAAATGAACAAAATTGACCAAATGTCAAAGGATTTTGTACGGAACAATGACAATTTTTAAATAAGAAGTGTTCAAATCAATAATGTATTCCACTGTGTACTGCAGTTAATTACGCTACGTTCAGAACTCCGGTGTTTGTGCCGGCGTTTTCTTTTGCAGAAACCGTTTAAAAAAAAAAACAGAAACCGAAAAGCCGGTGGTAATTCCCGCAGGTTTGGGGATCCCAGGGCTGCGCGGCTGCCCCCCCCTCTCACGAAGAGCTGGCCAGCGTCCCTGAGCTTCCTCTTCTGTGTGCCACAGGCCCAGACCCCCAGACTGCGGCATCCGAGACCCGCAAAAAGAGTTTTCATCAGCTGCATCAGACTCATGCAGGATGATCGGTCGAGTTCAAGTAAGCCTTATAACCACCAAAACCCTCTTCCTGAATTTTAGAGGTGGCAGTGATTTACAGACACCCTCAAACCTGCTGGGCTGTTGCTTTCGAGGACTGTGTTTGGCGAGACCTGCTCTCACACAGGCCTCCCAGCTGGGTTCTGCTTGCATAATCTAGACAGGCCCAGGAGCTGTGCTGCAGAGACTTCAGAAAGAAGGTGATTCTGTGATTTTTAAAAACAGTCTGAGGGGTTTCTAGACATTGTTAAACGCAGAGCAGCTCCTGACTTTAATGTGTGGTAACTACTGTATGTGAAGAGGAGACTGGACTTGGTGCGTTACTGAAGCGGCAGATATCAGAGAAACTCTCTCTTCCAACATCATTGCCAAGCTGCTCAGAAGGGTCAGTATTTCTACCTCCCCTCCCACACGGCAGCCAGCAGCTGCAGATCAAGGCTCCCCCGCCCCGCCCCGCCCTTACCCCTTCTTGTCCATGGCCTCCACCTCCTGCACTCTCATGCCGAAGATGAAGAGGTTCTCCTCGCCCGCCTCCTCCGCCATCTCCACGTTGGCGCCGTCCATGGTGCCGATGGTCAGGGCGCCGTTCAGCATGAACTTCATGTTGCCCGTGCCCGAGGCCTCGGTGCCCGCCGTGGAGATCTGCTCCGAGAGGTCGGCCGCGGGGATCACTGGGGGGAGGGAGCTCGCGTCAACATGTGGGGGAACATGCAAACTCCACGCAGACAGGCGACCCAGGGCCCCAGCGCTGTGAGGCAGCAATGCTAACCACTGCACAACCGGGCAGTCTCGAACATGAGCTCTGTTTAATTTTATTCCGTATCTAAAAGCCAAAATGAGTGTCAGGTTTATTTCACGCTGAAATAAGAAGAGACACAACATTTCAGCTGTAGAGCCCTCTTCAGTTGTGACACCTGTGACACCTGTGAGACCTGAAGAAGGCTCCATAGCTGAAATGTTGTGTCTCTTCTCTTTACTGCATGAAATAATTCTCTACCTGTTCCTTTGCAACCTACATGGGCTGACTACACAGGTACCTTCTGTACCTGAAAAACAGAGGATCTGTTTCTATTATAGTGAGAAATGAAACAGCCAATTGTTTGCATGTCACCCTTAAGCGAGTGTGCTGGCCTATCATAATGGTTCCATTTAAGATTTTTAAGTTTTTAGTTGATATCACAACAATGGGTTATGAGCACACGCTAGCCACCAAACGAGAAGGATAAGCTGGTCTCGTCTTGTTTGTAAGCTCTCTTATTGTTGTTTGTCTTTTAGGGCTTCAAACAAACTCTCGACTGACCCTGGGTGAGACCAGGAAGAAAACCAAAACAGGAAAAGGACCAAAGGACACAGGAATATTGTCTTCATCCTCAAATATTTCAGAATCCCTCCATTTTGATTTGGCCTTTGTGTAGCAAATAAACACTCAACAGAGGGACAGAGCAGGGCAGTCAGACAAACGCGTCTGGAAACTATTTCTGCAGGAAAGCATCCTTCAGTGTTAGGTTCTCCTCAGCATCTTCCCCCTGCTGGTCTGCCTACCTTTCTCCGCCAGGGACACCCTGTAGTTCTCCAGGAAGATGACCTTGAGCCTGTCTCCCACCACAGGGTCGTTATTGACGACATCGCCCACCGAGGTGATCAGCTTGATGATCATCTTGGCCATGTGGTAGCCGGGAGCTGCCTGGAAACCAAGACAGCAGGTCACCAAAGAGCTGTTTCTTGGGGGCTGAGAGACACCCCCCCCTCCTTATTGCTCAGACAGACTATACTCTTGGTCATGCTGCAAAGACAAACCTAAGAAGCCCAATATGACAAACATAACAGGACTGAATGACCTCAAGCAGTCATAGTTATTTTTGTGAATGTCCTTTCCAAAGCTTGCATTTGTTTTTCAAATATAGTGCAAGTGTCGAGGCATTCTGCCTTCAATCTAGGTGGTTTCTCTGTTGGATTGTTAATCATTATCCTAAACAGTGAAGGTACAAAAACATTTAAAAACGTACAAAGGTTACTTACCTTTCCTCCAATCATTATAGTTCTTGGAACAAAGTGCTTGTTAGGATCCTTTTTAATACCTAAAAAAAGGCAATATATTAATGAAAATCAATGTTTTTTGCAAATCATTTTTAATTCATAGCAGTGTAGCACTCATGACTGGTAGGTTGCGTGTTCAAGTCCCTGCTCCAGACACTGCAGTTGCACAATGAATGATGTAATTTAGCCCAATAGCTCCAGTCCACCCAGCTGTGTGAATGGAGACCAGTTCTGTTGTGGACTGGCATCTCGTCCGGGGTTGAGGGAATCACATGCTCTCCATGTACTTAACTCCATGGAAACCAGGTAACCTTTGACTCCATGAACCACCATGGCTCGACTACTGACATTACCCACCTACCACTTGAATAAAAGTGTTCACTACACAGCCACTGCATGTAAAAGGCATAGAAGTCACTGCTTCTCCACCCTGTGGTATGCAGCAACCAAATGTCATTAATTCTGGACTCCTGCCATGAGCTTTAATGTGATTCTCAGAGGAGAAAAATCTCTAAGAAATATAAATAATAAATTCTCATCTCATAAAGCTTCTGAACTGGAAGGTCACATTTTTGCACATACCATACCAAACCACAGGCAAGGAATGTCAAGATCAAAGTCACCTTCCACAAAAGAGCTCTCGAATGAAATAAGCTCTGCAAACACATGATGAACTGTTCCACTGGGGCAGACGCCTCACCCCCACGTTCCTGTTGACCAGGACCGCACACCTGCACGTCAACCTGCAAATCGTCCTCACTGGCTCTTTGGCAAGAACAGAAACCACCTTACGGTTGTAGAAAGTGATGATGTGCAAACAGTTGAGCAGCTGCCTCTTGTATTCATGGATTCTTTTCACATGGATGTCAAAAATCGAGTCTGGGTTGATTTTGACTTTGTACTCCTTCTCTAAGTAAGCAGCGAATTTCAGCTTATTCTCCTGCGAAGAAACGACAGTCTGCGTCAGCCCCTTTCTTTGCATGATGTTGACATCATAACTCCAAACACATGAACAGAGCAAACACTAAACATTTCCTCAAATATAACACAAAACGAATGAGGGACTAACTGCCACGGTACAATTGTTATTATCTTTTTATTCCTGGAGGATGTGGACACCCGCAACTGGAATGAAGTTTGAACTTCATTAACAGTATTAATAAGGGTCATGACACCACGATGGGTTCTATGTGTGTAGAAGTGTATATCTGAATGTATGTGAGACTGCTTGTAGCCACAAGTTCATGTGTAAATAACCTCATTTGCGTGCTCAAATTGTTAGATTGGTCTGCTTGGGATGTGAGGTTTTTCACTCAGCATTTTGGGTGTGTAGGGATGTTTTTGTTTCACTTCCTTTGTCAGGAGAGCAGGTTTGGCAAACTAAGAGATTTCAGTCTTTGGAGGTTGTAAGTAGATAGTAACTGAGTTCAGTGTTGAACACAACTTGAGTCTAGAGTAGCAGGTAGCTGTAGCCACCCTATGTAAAGGCTGTATTATATTAATGTTGAAGAAGCCTTCTGTTCTGAAACTTTCCCAATAGCATCAGAACCCCCTGGATTTAGGATTTTCTACAATCTACACAATCACAGAACTGTCATGGCAACTTCAGTTGCTCACTGATCAGTACATATCAGTTCTATACAATAATCTGGATTTTAAGAGACTTTTCTGAACCTAAAACCTGTTTTTGAAAAATAAAACACTTGCACTCCATCTTTATTCTTATTTCCCTGTGACCTCTAACACAGCACTGGCAAGCCACATTGTTTTAAGACTGGCAGGTGTTTCAACAGGGACTGTATAGTGTGTGAGCACCTGGTACCTGATGAGGCAAGTCTGAGTCGAATGATGCTCACTAAAGAGCAAAGATGAGTATGAAACCAGGTTCAAGAATCATGTCTGAAGACAACTGTTTACAGAGTGCCTTGAAGACAATTATTATGTAATAAACTCTGAACTGTGTATTTTATTTTCCAAACTGTCCCTTTGTTGCCTTTAAGCTGTTATTAAGAAGACAATAGCGGTCTCAGGGTGGACCAATAAAACACTCAGTTTCTTTCCTTTATTTTTTGCTTTACAATCATCCCCACATACAAACCCAGCTTTGACTCAGTACGCGGACATTAAGAGCCTTAGGTCTTTACTGTGGGTGGAAGTTTGCATATTACGATTGTTCTCGAGGTAAAGGGTACTTTTTAACTGACCCAAGACAAGGAGAAAAGCTGCCTACATTCGCAAACAGCCAATTGAAAAAAAAACATCTTCACGTCTCAGGAAACACTAAATCAGAAAAAATAATGAATTATCTTCTTTGAAAACAGAGATGGCATGGGCCCCATATTAATAATGTAATGTGGGGGTGATGACTGTCCCCACAAGTGCATTAATGTGCCATTAATAATGCATGGGATTTTTTTTTTTTGCCATTGTGCAACACTTTTGTGATATAAAAAGGATCAAATAGTTCTTCCTCCCATGTTGCTTATCTCTGTTTTGTCTAACTTCTCATCAAGGCTTACAGTACATTACTTCCTTTTAAATCTTTAAAATCTCTTGACTCTGCTTGAACTTTTTTATGACCACCTACTTCCTCCAGCAAGTTATCAGTTATTCTTGCAGTTTCCTTCAATAATGTTCAGAATGTGCTGTTTGATAAAGTGAAACACAAGTGAAACACAAGTCCTCTCTCTGTTTCGCTTGCTTCTGTCCTAGGGTCAAAGTGAAACAGGCTCACCTGTTTCACTTTGGCCACATCTCGAATGAAGCCTTCGTCATCTGTGAAGTCCAGCAGCTTCCTCAGCTGGTACAGGTCTGTGAGGAAGTCTTCTCCGATTTTCTAAAAAGAAAATCCCATTAATATTAATACAATATTAGAAAATTGTAAAACTATTAGGAACGTGGTTGGGTTCACTCTGAAATAAAACTTGGATCTGCACTAAAATTAAATTACATGGACTAACAATTTTTAAGATAGTGTCACATTGTTTGGGTTCAACATGCAATGTAAAACACACTCTAATCCTCCTCTGGACAGAAGACACTTTTCCAACAGATCGCTAGGGGCTCCCAGCTTGAACAAAATAAAAAAAATGTAAATAATTAAAAATGGTGCTATTATTAATTGCAAAACATTAAAAGCATAGCTGGTTGTCAGAAATGTTCACAGCACAGATCTGCTGGGGGTGATTGTTGATTTTACACAGTAGGCCGCCCTGGGATGAAAAGTTTGCCTATGATTCTGGGGGGCCTGGACAGTCTCTGAGGACCCCAAAGGCATCCCCAGACCACAGGAGAACTACTAGTGTTAAACATTCACCTCAAGCATTTAACTGTATTTACTGACAGAGATTGGCACCAAAATGATCTTTCACACTAGTCACTAACATGGTACAAGAGCCCAACCTTGGTTTAATAATTCTGATAGAGTAGGATTTACGTACAGGGCAAAGCCATCTGGAGCTTGAGGGTCTCAAACAGTGAAAGTTGAGGGGGAAAGGGCCACTCTGCTTGTGAGGAATCAGGGAATTGCTTAAAATTAGACAAAACTGATACTGACAAATGTAGCTTAGTATTCCTTCTAAACTGAAGATTATAAATAATTTAAGTAAAGATACAATGTTTTGGCACATAATCTTTTCTCAAGGCTCTTGCAAAGCAAAAATACTTGTGTTTCAGTGTGTTGTGGGAAGTTGCTCATCAGAAGAGAGCAGAAGACAGCCTTCTGTGCGGTTTCAGTCTTCACTGAGCTCGGTAAGCACAGCGATGTGGTGTCGGGTCTGCAGAACAGACACACCACAAGCCATTACGCACAGCACAGCACAGGCTCAGCGAGAAGCTGCTTTCACACTGTGGGTGTTTGTCCTGTCCTTTGATATGCGATTACTTCTACCCCTTAGAATAGGCAGCTTTATTCTGTCTGATCAGACCCCAGCAGTTACTCCAACCCCTCCCACAATGCGGTTAAGCAGCGCTGGATATGTGCAACGTATACGTGTCCTTTTGAGGACACCCCTTGTGTTTGTGGGGCTTGGACCGGGACCGTGGAGTCAGGGTGCCACGCCCCCCGAGACTGAGACGTTTAGGTGCCGGCCAGACAGACCGCCAGCCGGCCAGGCCAGAGCCTACCTCGGCGATGATGTCGGCTAGCCCCGGGTTGCAGAGCAGCAGCCAGCGCCGGGGAGTGATCCCGTTGGTCTTGTTCTGGAACTTCTCGGGCTCCACGTCGCAGAAATCCTTAAAACTGCACGCCGGCGTTCCACCCCAGCATCAGCACAGCAGAAGAAAACAGCCCGCAGAACAAGATATTATTTCTCATAATCCCTTACCCTTATACAGAGCTTTTCTGGACACTCCACGATCCCCAATAGCGACCCCCCTCCAAACGAACAAATCAGTGTTGGTTAAACTGGACCCTCTTAATCTCTTTACTGGTACGTCCCTATCTCTTCCACGACTCTGTGACTCTGACCGGCCAAGTGTTCTCACTGCTTAGTTTCTCTTGTGCATCACCCTCCCATCACCCCCTCTGTGCACAAGCCCCAGTGACAGGCACCGTCCTTACCCACCAGCCCCTTCATCGCGCCTCTTCGCTCTCCTGCCTCTCTCATGGCTCATCCGGCGCCCCGCGGTGCAGCCAGACGCCCTGAAACATCAGGACTGGAGCATCTTCGACCCCCACCTCCTCCTGTGCAGCTGTAGTCTGTGTCCCCCACAGCTGCTTTTGTCCCACTGAGCTTTAAGGCCCATGGCTGACCTCAGTACTGAAGACACTGTATACTGTATACTGTATTCAGATACTGTATTATGTTGAACAATTCTGAAGACATTGGGAAATGCCTTCATATGAATATTATATATATATATCCATCCACCTATTTTCTTACCACTTTATCCAATTCAGGGTTGCGGGGGAGCCGGAGCCTATCCCAGCAAGCAACGGACTAAAGGCAGGAAACTTAAAATCCTGGATGGGACACCTGTCCATCATGGGGCAGGTGGGACACACTCACTCACGCCAGGGCTGTCTTTCCCAGAAGCCAATTAACCCACCAGTATATCTGTGGACTGTGGGAAGTAAGCGGAGCCCCCAGCAGACACTCACGCGAACACAGGGAGAACATGCAAACTCCACACAGACAGCACCCCAGGTCCAGAATTGAACCTGGGGCCCCAGCACTGCAAAGCAGCAATGCTGACCACTGTGCCATTTCTCCCATAATATATTTCATTTAAAAGAATGAATCAAATCTTTATATAGTTTTGTATACTGTTCTACACTGCTTTGTTTGCAGCGCCAGTAGTTTTCTGCAGTTCGTTGTTCTTCTCGGTTGTAACCCTCCGAGATAAAGGGGCTCAACAACGGTGTTAGTACTGTCTGACACTACTGGAGCGGCACTGGGACCGGCCCCTTCCAGCTCCTGGACCGTCTGTGCGCCCTCCCCGAGGCCAGGCGGAGCAGGCGAACTCACACAGTGCTCTTGACGATGTCGGAGTGAATCCTGGCCACGCCGTTGACCGCGTGGGAGCCCACGACACACAGGTGGGCCATGTTGATCCTCTTGGGGTCTCCCTCCTCGATCAGAGACATGCGCCTCAGCCGGTCCATGTCGCCCGGGTAGATGGCGGAGATCCTCTGCGGGAGGAAGGCAGCCGGGTCAGACACACAGGGGTGGGGGTACAACCCCGGGCTCCCCCTGCAGCACGTTCACGCGCCACACCGCTGCCGATCGCCACGTCAGCCGGGTCAGGGTCGCGGGGGAGCCGGGCTCAGAGCGGTGTACACCCTAGAGGGGACGCTAGTCCATCGCAGGGCTTGCACGCACTCACACCAGGGCTAATCTTCAAAGAAGGTGTGCTTCTGGACTGTGGGAGGAAACTGGAGCACCCAGAGGAAACTCACACACACACGGGAACATACAGACTCCACGCAGACAGCGCCCCAGGAGTTAGACCCAGGACCTGAGCGCAATGCTAATCCCTGGACCACCGTGTAGCTCACTTTAACATTTTCCCCTTTAATTTTTAAAACCACTGTGCTCTTCACGAGGCCCAGCTAAATACAAGGCTTCCTAGTCTACATTAGTACAACCTTTTAGTACAAAGTTACTTACTTCTATACTGAATTAATTATAAAGTAATAACATTTAACATCCTGCATTGGAACAGCATGGACTATCCTGCGTTAGTTCTGCAACAAATTTGGCACAATGACTTATTCTGGTTTTGCACCAGATTTTAGTTTTATTCCTTAATTTTACCGCAGCATGTCAATTGAGAAATATATTTGCACTTACGGAGCTAACCTACTCATGAACACAACTTTGCAGTTCACTGCAGCAATGTGAACAAAGTAGCTGGCGTACAGCAGCATCCCACTGATGTGAACTGTCCTGTCAAAGCGAAATGCTTTAGATTTATTTCCACTTTATCGTGAATGCACCATATGCACGAGAATGAAAATTGCACACCCACTGTTGATTATAATAATCACTTTTCCGCAAAATACCCGATGATGACATTATGGAACAATTTTTTTTCTGTGTGCTTGGAAATGAAGGTGCACACACGGAGGGTGGCATCAGAAGGCAGAGCTGTGGGCACCAGATGAGTTTCTGGACGCGGTACGCCCCTATCCACCCCGCTACTGGCAGCGGTGTAAACGCAAGCGCCCTGCCGCGACAGGGGAGCAGCGTGCGTCTCTGGCAGCCAGCGGCTCGACTCTCACATCCAGGTGCCGGCGGTTGATCTCGTAGACGATCTCCAGGTGTCTGGGCAGCAGCTTCTCGAACATGTAGACGGGCCAGCGCTCCAGGGCCTCGGGCAGCACCGTGTGGTTGGTGTAGGCACAGGTCTGCACCGTCACATCCCACGCCTGCGGGAAGGAGCAGCAGAGGCCTCTCAATAACCGCCGGGCTGGGAGCCTGCGCTAGGACACACTGGGGCGGGAAACAGAGAGCTAGCAAGGGAGACACCTGTGTTTCTGGGAATTCAGTGGGAAACGAAGAGGACCAAAGTTCTCCTGAAAATTTTAATTCTGAGAAGGCTTAACGCTACAGGCGCTCCGAGAGCTACTGATGACTCGGCACAAGTACAGGCTCTCATAAACACGACGGGAAAAGAGCTTTGGTGCTCACGTGCAGGTCTGAAACAGCTCTGGTGCCGCGGGATGCTGATCCCAACAGCAAACAATCTCTATCCTACAGTCCGGCTCACCTTCTCCCATTCCAGCTTCTCGACGTCCACGAAGATCCTCATGAGCTCCGGAATGGCCAGGGCAGGGTGGGTGTCATTAAGCTGGATAGCAACCTAGGATGAGGAATTCAGACATCATAGCATCATAGCTGCTACGTAAAGCAGAATTACATGTCTTCTACAAACACACATTTGTCAAAGTATTGTGGGCTATGACTCTGAACATCTAGAAGACACGCAGAAATTCAGTTTCACATCATCAATATGTGAGGTGGCACTTGAGGTAGCGTAGTCAAAGGGTTACACTGAACATTGTGGTACAAATCAATGACTGGCCTGAGATGGAATGAAAGAGTACTGTGAAATCCAGACAGATCACAGAACCAGGCATTCATGGGTCAAGGCAGTAGCTGGAAAAGGTCGGTGGAAATGGAAGATTGACAAACACCAGCTTTAGGAATGCAGCTTTAGCAGATATTGAGATAATAATAATCATCATCATCATTATAATAATGGCTTACACTTATATAGCGGTTTTCTGGACACTCCACTCAATGCGCTTTACAGATAATGGGGACTCCAGCCATAGTGCGCCAGAACACTCCCCACACATCAGCTAGTAATGAAGTAGTACAGAGTAATGAAGCCAATTGATAGACGGGGATTATTAGGAGGCCATGATCGGTAAGTGCCAATGGGAAATAATGCATGCATGTAAGCCAAGGAGAATGTGCCTTCTGTGTGTCCTGTCGCCAGACTGCTGCGCACTAATCTCTCCAACTGAAGGATGAAATCCAGCCACGCTGCCTCTGCAACAGCTGCAGAGAACAAAGCTGACGATCTTCCAGGCACATGCCTTGAGCCAGGGTTAGTCAGGGTAGAGTTCTAGATGGCCGAGGCCTGTCCTAGCTTCAGCTCAATGGGCAATGCCCCTGGCGAGGAGCAGTGAAGCTGGCCCGCGGAAATAAAGCCCCTTGCCTTTTCTGGAAAGGTCTCGAAACTCGTTCTGACAGGGTCTCGGCAGCCGAACTTGGAAGACTTGAAGCGGCGGATGATGTCCTGGAGTGTGGCGGCGACCACAAAGTACTCCTGCTTCAGCCGGAGCTCCTTCCCTTCAAAAAACTGAGCACACAGCCAAGTTACTTCCTGCCTCCCCTCAAAGCCACAGCCCATGAATCAGCACATTTACCAGCTCCTGGCCACTGCTGGGGACATCCCCCCCCTGCAGCAGCAGGAGCAGGTGCAGGGCAGGGAACACCCTGGATGGGAGGCCAGTCCACCGCAGGGCACACAGACACTCACACCAGGGCCTTTGTGTTCAGTCCTGAGCCTTCATGTAAAAGGTCCTCACTTTATAAAAACGTGTACGTCATTTGTATTTTAAACAAAACAGGACAATCAATCAGTATAGTCTGAGGTCCTGCTCCTCCGAGGATAATTTGTGTAAAGACACTGTGCTGCAGGATGGTTTGCTGCCTAAGTCTTTGATCTCTGTATTTGGAGATAACCTTCTGAACTGTTTTTCTTTAGGAGAACTCCAGGCTTCACAGGCCTGGATCAAACCACTGCTGGTTGTTCACAAAAACCACCTACAAGCTTCTATAGAGTCTGCAAGTGTTGTTGTAGAAGAAACCACAAGAAGACGTTTGTGCAACAAGTAAGCACCTGTTACTGGTCACAAAGAAATACATTATTTAAGCTGAAGGATATATTGTACACTGCCACTTCTGTGATGTTTTCGATTTTTTTTAACCGACTTAGATACTGTATATCTGCTTAAGAATGCAAAAAAAACTGACATATAATTATATACTTTTATAATCAGATTACTTTGCATGCTCTATGTCGAGATTAAATTCAAGTACGAACTTGTTTCCCCAACAAAAGCTTGGGTAGTAAGAGACATTTTTTAATCCCTTTGCTTGTGTTGGAAGAAAATCACAAGTTCACTCCAACAGAACATGTTTTAATACAATTGCAGATTTTTCAGCAAGGATGTGTGTTTGTTGGTCAGGCAACATTCTGACTGAGCTTTTGTTACTGAACTGTCACTCTCAGTCCTGGCTTATTACTATTCCCAGCCTGAGGGTACAGAATGACAGCTTTTCACACTCACGTTGTCATTGGGGTACAGGACGCGAGAAATATTTTCAGCCAGGTTCCTATCCAGCACAGCCTGGATATAGTCACCCACGTTGACTGCAAAGAAGAAAAAAGGCAGAAGGAGCTGGTTAATATACGTATTGACCAGCAGTTTCAGATATTGCTTTACCCTGATTCAAGCCACACTGACCTGTACCTGGAAAGCATCTGTAAGGTCCTGCGGACTGGTGTTGAGAAATGTGTCACACCACATTAGCTGGAAAGATGAACTCAGCAGAGGGATCTATTCTGTGGACCTTGCATTTAGATGGAGCGCCAGTCCTTCGCAGGGCACAGATAGACACTCACACCAGGGCCAGGTTTCCCAGAAGCCAATTAACCTACCAGTGTGTCTTTGGACTGTGAGAGAAAACCACAGCACCTGGAGGAAACCCACGAACACAGGGAGAGCATACAAACCCCGAGCAGATAGTAACCCCTGTCCAGACTTGAACCCAGGACCCTGGTCCTGCACCTCTGGTACTGCGACTCGAGCCAGCAAGGCCAACCACTGCGCCATCGTGCCACCTTGCACACAAACTCACAAAACAGAAAGGATGGCTCACCACCTTCACACCACCTTCACTCATTTAAAAATGACAGAGACACTAAAAGCTGTCTGTATAAATGCAAGAAGAAGAGCAGCACAAGGCCATGGGAGGCCATTTCTGGGTCGATGTGAAGGTTTTTACACTGCGTAGGGAGCTCTCAAATACAGGGCCAAACTAAACACACCAAACCACACCAGAATGTACAGTATCCAACGGTTACACTGGCAGGCTGCCATTAAATTGTGATGCCTAAGAGTGCACCACTGCCATCCCACTGAGCTCCACTTGATATTCCAGGCAGCTCTTAACTGAAGTAACATTCCTCCTTGCACAAATAAACCCATTAGTCTCAGCCGAGCTACAGGGAAGCAGACATTAGCATAATGTTCCTGGCGTTCGCCATGAGAGGGCTAAACAAACTCCAAAAACAAGACAAGACAGTTATGTCACAATATAAAAAGTCAAGTTTTTACTTATAAGGCTGTTCTCCCCATTTCTGTTCATCAATTTTACAAGATCTTGATCCACAGGTTTTCTTCTGAGATTTCATTTCATCTCATCTTTAACTAATCACTTCAGCAAAGGACAAATGAACACCTCATTTAAATGCTCTTCTCACAGACCAAAACAAAACCCCAAAAGTAACCCCAACACTCTTTTTAATTTGCCCACATCGTAAAATCTGTTACTCATTGACATCTGTTCTGCTCAATACTCTCAAACATATCTTCACTTTGGTAAAATGTGAGGAAACTACACTGTACAGTCCACTGCAATGTTTTAAAAATCCACCAGGCCATTTATATTAGTGTTCGAGCTTTATCGCTTGATGACAAGACACCAGTTGGGTCTGTTTTACATAACATCCATCACAAGCTCCCAGAGAAGGCCAGTAATCAGTCAGGTGTTAAGGCCTTGAAATAAAACTCCAGTTGCCTTTGTCCCCTTCAATCTCATCTTCAACTAATATAAAAACAACATGTCACAACACTTACACTCCTGGAGGTTGAAATCGTTGGGCGCCTTGGCAGACCAGAGCCTCATAGTATTGACAGTGTTGTTCTTGTACCCAGGAACTGGCGTGTCATAGGGCATTGCAAGCACTATCTGTGAGGAGGGGAACACAGCTCAGGTAACACATAATGGAAGGGGCAGATACATAAGAGTTGGTTTGCTTGTGTGGTAGTGCTGAATGGGTCTATCTACTACAGTGCAGCACAAGACTGAAAACCTTTTAGTTAGGAGAGCAGACATGGGAACAGGGAAAAAAAACACTATTCTTCATTTATGGGTTGGTTAGAATATATTTGCTGTAAATAACATTGTATTCTTGATTCCTGTAATAATCAGGGACTTCACTGAACTATTAATATACGATGGTACTGTACATGAAGTTGGAGTTTTTAAGCTTCGAAATTATCTATCAATATATGTAAAGTTTATTTTTATGTAGTGACGCAGCTGGTAGCAATATTAATTTTCATTTGTGTGTGTTAACTTTAAGTTTCAGATACAAATAAGATGTTGGGTAAGAAGAGGTTATTTCTTCTCCTGCGATATGAAGTCACTGTTCTGAGTTTGATCAAAGAGGGGGCTCTGAATGAAAGCTCTGAATCTAGTTGTCTCCCCCCAGTATTCTTTATTTACAGTTACAGCGATTCCACGCTCAAACCTCTGGGACCCATCAAGCAGAGAAACTAGCAAATGGCTTTCGGTGACAGTCTGTGTGAAGCTGCTCTGCCACTCGACTAGCAGAGTCACCACGTCGTACAGTGCGTGCGAACAGCCCATTCACTCAAAGCTGTGGTCACAACAATGCGGCCAGGAAAATTGGCCTCGTACTGAATTAGCTGACCGGGACCTCTTGACGTCAAGGCCCTCTGCTTACTTGAGTGTTCACCCACTTTGCTCCTTCAGCGGTGTGCTCAACTCTCCCGTAGAAGTGTACTGGGAGCATGTACTCTGGGCGGGCCTTCTCCCAGGGGTTGCCATAGCGCAGCCAGTCATCTGCCTCCTCCACCTGAGGGGAAAACAGCAGCTGCAGCCTCAAACACAGCATGTCCATGTCAGGCGAACCACTGCCACGCACATCCTTCCACGTTTCTTGACCACTTTATTTTTCACAGGGTCGTGGGAGAGCTAGAGCCTATCCTGGCAAACAGTGGGCATAAGGCAGGACACACCCTGGATGGGACAGCAGTCTATCGCAGGGCACACACAGACACAGATCACACCCTGGATGGGACAGCAGTCTATCGCAGGGCACACACAGACACAGATCACACCCAGATCACACAGCACAACAGACACAGATCACACCCTGGATGGGACACCAGTCTATCGCAGGGCACACACAGACACAGATCACACCCTGGATGGGACACCAGTCTATCGCAGGGCACACACAGACACAGATCACACCCTGGATGG